GGAACCTCGAGCTTACCTGCATCCGGGTCACTCTTTCAGCTGTGAATTTAAAATATGCGCACAAGTTCACTGGTGATTGTCACAATTTAAAGCAGCCTGCTTAAACATGAAACTGTGGCATTATGTTGTAAGCCCCTCACAAACAAATAGAGAAATGTGCCATATCTGTCATAAGCACAGAGGGAGGGCGTGCTGGACATCAGTCCGGATAGAAACAGACCAAAACTTTAAGAACCGGGTTTGTTTTATCTGTTTCCTGTAGGCTGTAACTAAGTGTTGTTTATTTCAGCATGAAACACGCGCCATAGTAAGTTCAGGGACTGATCCGTGTGGTAAATCGAGCTTCAGTATGTAGAAGTGTCTCAAAGTTTGATGTGACTAAAGACTGAAAATGTCACCAGTTCATACAAGCCTGAGTGCATGTCCATGTCAACATGACTACAGGTAACATTACAAAACAGTGTTTTCTTCAAAAATAAATATGTTTAATGAAGCCTGCTGATTGGACCCGAGTATTATAGTTCCCAGATTGATTATGACGCCACCGACAGCATACACTCACCACGCATGACCAGAGTTTTTCATTTGACTCCGGGATAAAAATGTCAAACACTGAAGTTTGTTTAATTGAAATGTAAGATGGTAAAAACAGTAACAGTGGGCTTAGTAACGCTATGGCTGTCAGAGTAGACTGATGTTGGGTCAGGTTGTGCTTACGCTGGGAAACAAAAGCAGAGTTTTGTTATTTTATTTTCCCCATAAACCTTAAAAGGCATCAGTGGCAGAATCTGCTATAAAATAAGTGAGCGTGTTACAGCCCATCAGCGTAGTGTTTAGTGTTAACCTTCCCTTTGTCATCTCTGGACTCTGTTCGTCCATGTTTTCACTCGTGTAACTCCTCGATCAAAATCTGTTTTGTTTACATGAGGCAACAGTAGGATGATGTTCCCGGACAAGAACACTAGCACACCTCCTTAATCCTTCATATACTCAATCACCTCTCACACCAACTCTCTTCCACTCGAAAAATTCAAAAGAATGAAGCTAATGAAGTAGTTTAGGATGGTCCAATTGATTAGCTGACTGATTAATTGATCAATGCCTTGAAACATGTAGAAATATTTGCTGATCTGTGTCTTTGTTGCAGGGGCTCTGCTATTGCCAGGATTATCGGAGATAATGCCAGAACATTGCAGCATATTGCTACCACTGTGAAGATGTGGGTGTTTGAAGAAAATATTAATGGCAGGAAGCTTAGCGACATCATCAACACTGAGCATGAAAACGTTAAGTACCTTCCTGGATACAAACTACCAGAGAATGTGGTAAGAAATAGTATGATGTCATTCTTTTGCTGAGCTCATTAAACTCTGCAGAGCACTGAAGCTGCACTAATATTGCCAAAAGTATTCACTCACCAAAGTCATTGAATTCAGGTGTTCCGGTCACTTCCATGGCCGAGCGTATAAAATCAAGAACCTCGGCATGTAGACAAACATCATGGATCAGTGTGATGATGGGATGCAACAAGGCCGGTCATAAATATCCTCTTTATCAAATGTTCCACAGTCAACTTCTAGTGGTATTTTAACAAAGTCGAAGCCACAGAGTGGTAGCCCCATAATCACAGAGCAGGGTCAGCACAGACTGCACCGAGCTCACCGACTTTCTGCTACAGGCCTCCAAACTTTATGTTGCCTTCAGATTAGCTGAAGAACAATAGAGTTCTTCATGGAACGGGTCACCATGGACGCTGTATCCATCACCATGGACGCTGTATCCATCACCATGGACGCTGTATCCATCACCATGGACGCTGTATCCATCACCAAGCACAATGCAAAGCATCCGATGCAGTTGTGTGAAGCACGCTGCCACTGAACTCTAGAGCAGTTCACTGCAGTCACAAATCGTGCAATGATGGACGAGCTGGCGTTTGGTGGTTGCCAGGAGAGCGATACATGTCTGACCGCAATGACTGCAGTGTCCATATCGACATGGTTGAGAGTCCTCACCTCAATCTGACAGAACAGCGAGCCAGGCCTCGTTGTCTTACATCAGTGTCTGACTTCAGAAACACGCTTCAGGAAGAAGGTCAAGAATTTATGGAAGCTTGTTTCTGCCAATAAAAAAGAAAAATGTATCCAGAACTCGAAATTTAGTTACTTTTCTCAAAGTTTCGACTTATTAACTTGAAATTTCGAGTTACCTCTGCCAATCAGGAATCTACATGAGTGTCATTTTCTTGTTACTCGGAAGGCGCACTCAAACCCGGAGCGCAACAAATTGGCGCCTTCGAGAGTTCGTTTGCTGATAGTAACACCATGTGATTCAGCTAATAACACAAGGATTTCATCATGTGTGAAGCCATGCTGGAAATAGTCAGTAATTTGTGCATTCATGACTGGCTGTAGTACTGGTAGCTTAGCTGTAGCATTTGTAGCTGAGGGCTTCAGCTTCCTGGTAACGAGGAAATGATGTCATTCACGTAGATTACTGATTGGTCGAGTTAACTCGATATTTGGAGAAAATAAGCACACTACGAAATGTGGAGATCCTTCTCGTTAAAGCTGAAGCTGTTACCGTTGCAAAGGGTTGGATGACTTTCTATTAAACCCTCAGATTAAGACTGGGGTGTCCCCCCAGTTCATGTATGGCTGAAGACAGACGAGGGAATATTTTTGGCAATATGGTGGAAGTCTGTAACACAGACTCACAGGATTGTTCAAAGCCTACTCAGGTTTGAATTGAATGGCGTTTCTGTTGTCTCCACAGGTGGCTGTACCAAAGCTCTCTGATGCTGCTATGGGAGCTGACCTGCTGGTGTTTGTCGTCCCTCATCAGTTCATTAGGAAACTCTGTGATGAAATGGTGGGCTGTGTCTCTGCCAGAGCTCGAGGAATCACGCTTATAAAGGTAATAATAATTCACCGTCTCATACTCCACTGCTGCTTTTAACTTTCCAAATTCTGCAGAGCAAAGACCTGACACAGGATCTGAGCCCTGCATACAAACAGCTGAACATGCCCGCAGTATCTTTGTTATGTGGATTTGCTTCCCTAACAGGATCCCTAATGATCAGGATAAGCGTCACATAAAGCTGTTTTTTGGTTCATATTGCCAGTAAGTGTCTCCAGCCATCCACAAACACAGTGAAGGTCTTTGGGGTAGTAAATGTGTAAGGACATTTAGTAGCCAGGGATCAGGTGATGTGCAGAATTCATTTTGTGATCAAATAAGTCGACAAAGTGAGCGCTGAAGAGTTCGATGTTTGGATGCCTCTCTTCCACAGGGACCCCCGAACACTCTGATCCAAACACTGTAAACAAAAACACACTAAACTCAGAGTCCAGTGTTTGAGTCTGTTTCAGTACTCATGACGCATTCATGGCTGTGTATTGCATTAGTACATATTTTGAGCACACATTTTGCAGGGCAGCTTGTAAGTGCTGTCAAAGCTTTGGCTGCACCCTGGAGCTACGTGGCAGGAAGAGCCACAATACAGGACTTGGAAAATGAGAAGTGAACTCACAGGCAGTCTGTTAATGTTACGCTTACACCAAGTACAAAATAATACAGATCAAAAACAAGGAAACCAAAACTACAGATCTGCTGTGAACCAGAGCTGAGAAGGGCAAACAAGCATCACAGCAGGTCTCACTGCCTCACTGTCAATCTTCCCTTTCACCTTTGCTATGCTTCTGTCATCCATCCATCCTGACACGTATCCACCTACTCCACCCTGCCTCCACTCTTCTTCACCTCTCTTTTGCACTGTCACTTTTCCATGTCAGTAACAACTTATCATCACATGACCTGCAACACCTTCACCTACTTTTCTGCCACGTAAGATGCCACAGTTCCTCTCTTGGTGCCTCATCTTTCTCTAGCCCCACAAGGTCACGTCGCAGGCGTCCATCAGCGTACAAACATCACATCTGTAGTGCTCTTTCTCTGCATGAAGCCACACCCCCCTTCACTGATCAGCACCTCTCTGCTTAACCTAGCTTTAACCACTCTTTCCCACACCTCCATGGTATTTATCCCTCGGTAGTTACTGCAGCTCTGCACATTACACTGGTACCAGTGCACTTCTCCATGCCTCGGGCATCCCCTAACCAAACAGTACAATTTGAGTGTGTAACACTGTTGTTTCGAAGTTTTCGGTCTGTAGCTGCAGGCTGTTTGTAGCCTGTCCAAATTTGGCACGAGTGTCATTTTTTGCATTTGCCATCAACATGTGACTCATTTGGTGACACTGAGCTCTATTAACAAATTTCTAAGGGGTGTAAACTATAACGCATGGTGGGATTAGATCACATCTATGTGTTTTGTGGATGCTGTGGTCCTACTGGGCTCATCTGATCTCCACAAACCCCCCATCATCAGAGTCAGAGCTGGTACCTCAGAATCTCACGTCCTGGCTCTGAAGCTGAAAAGACTCCAGGTTAGAGAAGAATTGCTTCCTCTAGTCAAGAGCTCAGATATCTCTTGTTCACAAGTGAGTGAAAGGGTGAGTGTGAGATGGATTGGTTCATCATCTGCAGTTATTTGGTAGAGAGAGTGCTGGTGAATGTGTTTGGCTGCAAGCTGTGGGTCGTGACTGGAAGAATCAGGGCTTAGCCTCGGGGTGAAGAGGTCAGTCAGAGGGAACCTATCAGGGGGAGGCTGGTTTCCTCCCTTGACTTTCTGTATGCATCCATCTACAGCATGGGTATAAGCAGCTGTGTCCTTTACGGCTCATTCTGTATGCCGTCACTCATCCACCACCGCCCCTCTCATTGCTCTCTCAGGGTATACACGAGGGTCCAGAGGGCCTGAGGCTGATCTCTGACGTCATCCGTGAGAAGATGGAGATTGATGTCAGTGTCCTGATGGGAGCGAACATCGCCAACGAAGTAGCAGCTGAGAAGTTCTGTGAAACCACCATCGGTGAGTAGAATCCAGTAGATTTTATGACTGCCTGCTGTAACTGTGGCATGTTGTGGATTTAAACAAACAAACGGGACCTGGAAGAGAAAAAGATGTGTTTTGGTTTGTTTGTCCTCTTGGATTGATTGGATGGGAGTGTAGGGTCTCTGCCTGAGTGCATACTGGGAGATGGTGCGTGATCTGAATTTGAGTTCTGAATAAAGTGCGTGCTAGCATGGATCAAAATTGTGTAAAACTGAGCTGGAAAACCACGTGGAGCTGGAGCTTTGTTTGGGAGATGCTGTGGGCTTCATGGCATTCACAGGTTCTGTAATAATGTAAGGACAACATCAGATGGATTCGTCATTAACACGTATAAAGCTTCAGAAAAGTCTTTTAAAAGATGTATTTATTGAGTAATGTTCCCAGGCGAGTCTTTAGTTGTTTTTTCTTAACTTAGCTTTAACTGGTTAGCCAGGAATTTTCTTATTGCCGTGTTCAAAGTTCTCCAAACGCAGCCTTTGCACCAGAAATGGTCTTTTTGTCAGTTATTTCATTTAATTCCAGTTTTAGTTTCCTCAGATTACTAACTTTATGTTATTGTGGTGAAGGTTTTTTTCATTATTTTTCTTGTTTTAATAGTAAAATGTTATTCTGTTACTTTTCCTGCTTCCTTTAAACGCACAGTGATATTACTGGACGCTCGGTGTTTACACTGCCTGTTCTTTTGTGGAATAACTTTTGAAATCTTGCTCTTTAACAATATCTGCTCATTTGTGGTGTAACTCTTTTGTGTCTCTGAGAGACGGACACCAGTCTGAGTGTCTGTGAGCTGCTAACTAAAAGTAGTCTAAGCAAGAATCTGAGTGTTCTGGTGAAAAGTCCCTGAGAGTGGAATGATGTAAAGCCAAGCATCACAAAGACCAAAGTTACTCATTTATTGTTCAAGCATGTCTGTAGACTCCCTGACTGCTCGGGAGCCTCCTTGGGTGGATTGGGAACAGGACCTCGCCAACCAATAGCTCCAACAGCTGTGCTTCATTAGCAGGAAGCCAAGCCGTGCATTAGCAATTAGGGATTAATCCTCTATTCAAGGCTATTTTGAGACCTGATGAGCATAATGGTCAGTAATGCGATAAGACAGTTTCAAGTTTACCTGTTCAAATAAATGAGTAATTAGTGATCTGGCTTATTTGTGTACTTGAACCTAAACTCAGATTATACTT